AGGTTAGGTTAGGTTAGGTTGTGTAGGGTTAGTTCAGGTTGTTACATCGGGCAAGATAACGTGGGTTCTGTTGTGTCCTGCAGAATTCCTATTGCGTTGATCTAGCGGACGTCGGGATGTCCTGGAAAATTTCCTGAGAATTGCTGGAGAAGTGCTGGAGAAATTCTGGAGAATTTCTGGAGAAATACTAGAGAAGTGTTTAAAAGTCTTTTACAATGTCTTTTGACGTCTTTGAGTAGAGTTGGAAAAATCCTGGAGAAGTGCTGGAGAAGTACTGGACAAATTTTTGTGAAATGCCCAAAATTCATGTAGACGTTCTGTAGAAGTTTTTTTGAATATTTGGAGGAATGCTGGAGAAGTGCTGGAGAAATCCTGGAGAATCACTGGAGAAGTTCTTTAATTGTTTTTTGGAAGTCCATCAGCCGTGGTGAGTTTGATCGTATGCGGTTCTGTTATTTTCCGTTACGTTGGAATAATATAGCTTACATTGGATTAGGTTACGTTATTCGGGTTAGGTTAGGTTGGGTTAGGTTAGGTTAGGTTTGGTTGTGTAGGGTTAGTTCAGGTTGTGTTACGTCGGGTGAGTTAGCGTGGGTTCTGTTGTGTCCTGCAGAATTCCTATTGCGTTGATCAGACGGACGTCGAGATGTCCTGGAAAATTTCTTGAGAATTGCTGGAGAATTCTGGAGAAATCCTAGAAAAGTGTTCAAAAGTCTTTTACAATGTCTTTTGACGTCTTTGAGTAGAGTTGGAATAATCCTGGAGAAATGCTGAAGAAATTCTGGAGAGTTCCGGGAGAAATTTTTATGAAATGTTGAAAATTCATGTGAACTTTCTGTAGAAATCCTTGTGAATACTTTAAGAAATCCTGGATAAATGCTGGAGTAATCCTGGAGAATTATTGGAGATGGACTGGAACAGTTTTATGAAATTTCTTGAGCGGTTATTGGTTTGACAGTATGCGATTCTGTTATGTTAGTTTCGGGTTTTGGAATTAATAGGTTACTTTGCTTTAGGTGTTTTGTTTTTATGTTTGATTAAGTTTACTTTTTTTAGGTTAGGCTTATTTTGGTTACGTTAGGTTAGGTTTAGTTAGTTTAGGTTGTGTTAAGTTATGTTGCGTTATTTTAGGTTAGGTTAGTTAAATTTGTGTTTTTAGAATGGATTCAGTTGTGTACTGGATAATTCCCAGCGTGTTCATCTGGTGGATATGGGGATGTCCTGGAGAATTTCTGGAGTGTTTCTGGAGAAGTCCTGGTGAAATCCGCTAGAATTGTTTTAAATTTTAAGAAAAGGTTCTTTTATATTCCTTTAGAAGAGTTGGAGAATTGCTGGATAAATCCTGGAGTATTGCTAGGGTAGTTTTGGAAAGTTTTTTGGAAGTTCATAAGCGGTGATGGGTTTAATCATATGCGGTTCTTTTCAATTCTATTTTTATTTCATTTTTTTATGTTTTTTTTCTGCCAAACTGTACGTTTCTGATCGGCGATACTCATGTGATTTGATTTCAACGTTATGTCAAGTTAACGTCACTGCACGAGAATATGAGCCCAAGTGTTTGCCGAATAAAATGCTTTATTTTTTCAATGTCATTTTAATTTCATCGAGAAGAAATTTGTTCACCAAGTCACAACTCCATGTAATCATTTTATAGAAATCTAGACATGCCTTGGTCAGGAAGTACTTAAAGTTAAGAATATAAGAATACAAGAGTAGTTGAAACATTTAGTGACGTTAACTGCTTTCATAAAATCTTTTTTAAAAATCGCTAGTGTTCTTGTATGAAGAAATTATATCTCGAAGGAAAGAAGAGACAATGAGAAGTTTACGGGAAAAAGGATGTGCATATATAATGTAATACATATGTTTCGCTTTGAGAGAGAAATGAAAAACTTACATTTAATATTCTGCTTTATGTCAGAAATATAAAAGTTGTTCGAAGCTTTCATTTGTTACCGCATGCCATCTCGGAGTCTTCGTTTTAATTTGAACGTAATAAAAAATATACGACAGAGATTATATAACTGAAGACTAAGTTTTATTTTTATCATTATTTGAATCAGATCCGTGCAAGTAATTCTAGGTAAAATATAAATTGTCAGTGTAAATTTAAAAACTATATTTTTCATTGCATATTCTCCTATCGATAGTCAGAGTAGTGGAAAGGAACTAAATTTTATTTTGAAAGATTTTATATTATAGATTATTACAAACATAGCACAGTTTAAAATTCCAAAATATGAGAAAAGTGATGAAAAATGTTTGGTTAACAGGTTTTTTTTTACCTCAATACATTTACTGAAGCATTTAAGGCAGATGTCCGCCAGTTTAGTTCTCATGTTATTAGTCGTTAAATAATTTACAACTTTAACAATCTGCTACAGCAGATTTGTTTACAAAATACTCGAAAATCCGAAACGTATTTTGAGATTTGAGATTTTTACGAAGGTAGAGATGTCGATGTTAGTCTGCTGGGTTATAACGGCGTTTGGAATAGTAGCAGTCAATTCAACCCTGAAAACTGAAGCAACGCGTTTTACAAAAATTCGATGTCTACTTGCAAGTCCACACGGCGTTTGTAATCCAGTAGTTCAACGTCGTCGGAAACGTCCGTTATTTCATCCAAGTTAATTTTTAATGAATTGTAACAGGTGTATAATTAGTGACTGAAATGTGTTCTGATTTAAATTGCAAGCCAAATCCCTTCCCAATTTAATTCTCTAGTTACATTTTGGCATTAATAAAAATTTGTCAGCAACATAAAGTTGAATACTTTTAACGTAATGCCGTCATGTTATCTGTTGCGGGAAAGTTTCGTCTGAACGTGTGCGTTCTTCTCTTGGAAGTTTATTAATGATCTGTCTGTTACAAAAGAACTGGGCGCAGCATTTGGATAAGCTGTGTTTTTATAGAATGAAGTTTCGTGGTTGCAGTTAAGAGGCCCTCGTTTTGAATTACCCTTAAAATATCCATGGAAACTATAATTCAAACCGTTTCCAAGTAAGAGGAATTTAATCTGAACTGCACGAGAAAGTTAGTTCTCTTCTGGGTTATGTACGCCGAGAGAGTAGTCTTCTAGACGGTGAACTTCAAGGTAAAATAACTGAAATTGTATTAATAGGGGAACGTAATACTATCAGAAAATCGTATTCGTTTGTTCAAATTTCGGGTTCTCACTGCGACGAGTATAAATAAGACCTCTTTTTCTGAAATTTCTGCTTGTAGTCTCTTAGAAAATGACACAGTTCAGTTTCTCAGCTGACAGGCACCTTCTTGTACAAATCAATTCTTTTAGCCGACCGATTAGCCTCCGTTAACGCCTTAATTTTTTTTAATTTGTGTGCCCATCCATACACCTGTCCCTCACAAAATCCACTCTTTATTCCAGTCATTAAAACACACATTTATTTATTTATTATCAGTTATCTGTTTAATCATTCGTTTATTTATTCTCGTGTCCACTCAACCATCAGTCTGCTAGTCTGTTCACCTTCACGTAAATTTGTTTGTTCTAAGAGACACAAGTATTTTATACAGTGAACTAGCGTTGCATGACCCGTCGAAGTTGACGGGAATGAACTTCTTTTCCTATTGAACTGTGATACAGTGTATTGCAGCACTGTCTTTGCAAATCGCAAAATATAACATCGTTTGGCGACCAAACGAACATTCCTGCCAAACGTATGTTTCGCCATACCCCACCATAGGCGCCACAATAGCCTCGTTTGTATTTGTTTCTACTAGTTTCATCATTGTTAGAACTTAATTTAAATTATTTCCGCATCGCACGAAAGGCTCACTCGTCCTGTCAATTGTGATGGACATTGGGGCAGATGGACAGAATTATTTGCAGAGAAGCGGTTTCATCATAATGTGACCTTGAATGGTCACATGTGATGGCTGTTGTATGTTGAGATGCGCCCGCCTGCGGTCTAGGTCAGCTGCTAGCGGACTGATAGGTCGCCCAACTAATTCACTCTTCATGTATTCTTGGAGTTAACAACACCACGTAACAATAACTTCACTAAACATATTGTAACTTTATCCACACATGTTTTGAAACATGGAATTTTGATAAATATTTACAGTAAACTGATAAAAATAAAATTCAATTCAATTCAATTAATTTATTTACGTGTTTGCCAACAGCAAGAAACCAATAACAGGTAAACACTGATAATATATACAATAATAGTGAAATAATAATGGATAATATTACACAAACGGATTAACTAAACTTATACATGTACAGTATTAAATATAACAGCCAAGTACAGACAAACCCAAAATAGGAACAATATTAACACAAAGCAAAATAAATGAAGAAATATAAATGAAAATAAATAATCCAACAGATTGAAATGAGTTCCTATAACTTGCTTTCAGCATCCAGTCTGCCGTTATTGACCATTGACTTGAGTTTTTTTATTAACGAGAGCCTTAACTTGTCAGCGCATCAAACATTCTTCCGTACCAGGAATGGGTTAACTAAGGCATGCCCAGTTGTCATTAAGGAAATAGAAGTATGTGAAATGTCTCGACGTCTCGTGCAGTGTAGAATGTAGCCACAGGGTCACCAACCTTGACACATAAAATTCTAATGGGGATATGTATTATGTAATGACACGAAAGATTTTTATCAAGAAACTCTTTTTAAAACATTTTTTTTTGAAACACCTCTGCTTATGATTGCGTTACGTCACAGTTCTTGTACATCTTTACTCTGTGGTCAGTAAACAGGGCATGAAATCGTGAATGTAATCATCTCTTTAATTCCGTCACGAAATTCATTTTCAAACCACAGTATCAAAAGAACGGTAAACAGAACACGCATTGTCCACCGAAACAAATCAGATTACCGACCTGCTATGTGCCTTTATGGCAATGGCTAGTTATATTGCATTCCAGACGGGTCGCACACATTTTAGAGCGAGTATACACGTTGTGACTGTTAGATCAATAATAGAGCTGGTTCTCTAAGCTTCTCGCTTGTTTTACAGTGGGACGGACGGACGGACGGAAGGACAGATCTACATCAGCCTATTCAGTCCAATTCTAAGCCTCTCGACAGAATATATGACTGGAAGTACAACAGAGACAGATGAAGCCTTCATTCACTTACGCTGAATTATGAGCTGGAGTACAAGATGGTCCGTGTATTTGTCTAGGCGCCGCGAATTTCGTGACAGAACCCTGGAACTATTTGCCGAAAGGTTGGTGTACATTGTCAATGATTTTATATTCTTATTAGTACGCATTTTCGCTTATGACTAATTATATCATAAAGTTGCTCTCTTTACCAATTTTCCTGCTTGCTTGGCGGTTACTAGTATATCAGATAACGTATTAATGCATAAAGCGATCTATGTATTGCCCTTTTTTGGAACCTGGATTTAATTATAAGTAAGAGTAATTCAATGTCTGATTATTCCTGTCAGGCTACAAATTTGTATGCATGAATTAAGAAGTTAAGATGCCGAACGTCTGTCTGTTTTAAGCAACCAAATCAATGGTTCAGAGTATTTTTTTTTAAACTTTTATGATTACTGAGACGGGCGAGAAATTCTCTGCTTTCAGGAACTTGAAAGTTTATTACTGCGTACACAAAAGCACGAAATTTGATTTGGTTTTAAAATCACTGTATCCCTTCCCACACCGACGGACCTGCGGGTCCGTGGACTTTCCGGATGAGCGCTGACTTCTAACTAGCAGTCCGGCATTCAGATACGCGTATCCTGACGATAGTAAATAATCGTGCAGGTGCTATATTTTTTTAAAGTTTTTAGAGATTTAATTTTGAAAACTTTGATCACGGAACAGACAACTTTCAGTTTGTTACTCATTCAGTTTACAAAATGTCATATCATTCCAGTTTCGATGCTCGTCTGAATACTATTTAAAAACTCAGCCCGTACCGAAAAGAGAACATTTCTTCACCACTACAAAGATCACTGTTTTTCTGTTCTGTGAATCGTACGAAATTATAAATGCTCTGTGTGGGCAAAATGTTAATATAATTGTGACTGTTTTTCAAGTTCATGGTGTATGTAGTTGCCACTGGGATTGAATAGGGCGCAGGTATCATTCACGTGGTTCAAAGTAAGAGTTTTGCTGGTAGTCTATCGATACTCAGACAGAATTAAAGTGCTTCTGTTGTATTGGGAGGCTGTAAAGAAACTTATCTTGCATTCAGGAGATGTGTGACTGTCGTTTTGGTCCTGTACGTGCAGAAACTTCTAGAAATAGTTGGGTAGATACACTTCACTCTACGAAAGCCTCAAACAGAACGTCTGCTACCTCCTTAGGAACATTCTGTGTCTTACTGCAGTCGTGTCGTAGTAAACTGCACACCTAAGGTAATATTTCATCTGCAATCCTGTTGTAGTAAGTGACCGAGCTTAGAAATTATCCTCCATCTTACGTCATGTGACGTACCGTATGTAATATCAGACTAAGTTACTAATTCCGTTTCTTAAGAATCTATTACTGGCTAAAGTAATTAAGACATTTCATATATTTTATAGAACCCGTAAGTTTATTATCGCGTTCACAATAATTCACCATCTGCCCCTATACTGTGCCAGATGAGATAGATAAATGTTACCATAGCATTAAACTGCCCAGTCACTATACTGTTGAAATGCTTACTCAATGGCATGCCAATCTAGAGTTGACATAAATAATCGAAAAATATAATTAATTACAAATGGCTGTCTCCTGGGATACAGCACGTCAATGCTAAGAGTGGCACATGCCAGTGGACAGACATCCATCTTTATACTCATGGCCCCTTGAGAACCTCACAATTAACTGAATTTCGAAAATTTAATTATTTTTTCGCGGCTGATATTTCCTGGAGAGACCGAGGAAAACTTTTATAGCGTTAGTCATGTATCTCATTGAATTTTAGTTAACTACATTCTGAATTGAAATTCGCATGCTAAAATACAGAAAAATAAATAACACTTTTTTTTTAGTCTATGCACTTCGTTCATAAACAAAGCACAGGAGCGTAAATTTCCACAAGTAAATTACTGTCACACAAATGAACGAAATTGTTTATCCGGGTACAGAACACAAACCTAACCTCTGCCAAATGCCAACCGGCTGCAATCTGTGCAGTAAATCCCTACTTTGTAGCCAAGGCCTGAACTGTAAATTGTATCATTGAAATATACCACTTTGTAATTGAAACATCTGTATGCAATGCTGTAACTTGGTATTCAGGCAAGTAGCTGGGATTCTGAGATCCCGTCAAATCAGCTCCGTGGCTTTCTGCAACCCAGGGGTTCTACACCCGCGGCCCGCCGACGTGTTTCTTGTTAATGTCGACAGAGGTTGGCAGTAAGCATCTCTGTGAGCAAGTATTGAGCTTAATTATAAAAATTGCAATGCATGTGCATTTTAATTGATATTAATGACAATGTGTGAACAAGTTTACGATATTGTGCTCACTTTAGTAGCATTTTTTTGTAATTTTCCATGGAATTTTAACAGATTGTATCATTCATATTTTATTCACAATTTATAACGTCTCGGCCGAGTTGACAAAGGATGTATTTAACCTCGGATCTGTGACGAATTTTCAAACTAATGATTTGTTGTCAGGTAACGGAAGATGATAAGATTATTTTGTTGTTTCGCTGTGTATTGAGGCTCTCTTGTCAGAAATGTACATATAACCTCTCCCCATGCCTTATATCTCCTCTCGTGAATTCAAATAAGGTTGAAAACAAATACTAGAACCCTTAAGGAAGCGTGTACTGTCTTCTGAGACAGGTTATATCAAGTCTGTCTGCAGATGATACCCCAAGCGGAGGAAATAATTAGTGCTTCGCTTACCCCCTGCGAACCTTTAGCCAACGAGAATTTTGGGGCAGAGGATGCAAACTAATTCAGTTGTGAACAAGTGGGAGGATGAGATGTAAAGCGGATGGCACAGAGAATGGCATGACGAGAGGGAAGGGTGCGTTCTGATTTATCTCCTTAGCATAAGCCAAAGGACTGTGGTGTCAGTCATCATCATTAAATTTTTCTACCCTATAAAGGCGTTAATGTTTGGTGTCGCAAGTAAATATAAAATGCAGAGTTATTGAATGTGGTACACGTGGTTACCAGAGGATTTTAAAGGATGAATTAGCCTCTTTTTGAGCATTTAATAACGGTAGAAAGTCGCTGGCCTTGTAATCCTGGGGTCTCGGGTTCGATTCCCGGCGGTGCCCGAATTTATAACTTGTGTTGGGCAAGGCCGTGGTCTAGGCAACACGGAGTTTTCCTCCGGGGGCTTCCCCGGTTTCTCCGTGGCATCCCAACAATTACTCCATTCACACACAGAAGACGGCAATGGCAAACCACTTCTGGATCATCTGCCAAGAACGTATATGAACAGGTCCCAGTCCTAGAAAAGGATGGAAGGATCCTGTTCATATGGACCTGTCGTCAGACAGAACAATAAATAAATAAAATAGGGCTGTAGAAGTTATGTTACATTTTCAAGGCGTTAAATTCAAAGTGCTGTAATATGTTTCATTTCAGATTTTAAGTAGTCAAAATACAGTTAGTATGCTGATAATGCAATTAAAATAAATGAAAGGGCTTGAAATGTATCGCATGAAGTTTGCGTTTAATTTGTTGTCCATTAAAGTGTGCCCTTTCTTATCCTCTGCGATAATACCACCTGCACGGACAGGCGTCCGCTCGCCGTCAGATTATTTTATCGGTTAACTTACTTAAATTCTGTTGCGGTATTTCCTGAACATCAGAAGAGCCTTTAATAGATAATACAGGCATAACTCGGTACCCGAACCTCGTTAGTGATCACATTGTACGTTGTATATCGCTCGTGCTACCGTTAATATTTATCATAATTAATTAATTATTTGGTTAGTTGGCTTGACTATTCAGTATTGGTTTGATTTTGAAACACAGCTCTGCGATAGTCATTTTTACTGCAAATATTATATGCATATATGCATTTTAAATTAAACGCAGGTTCATGATTTCTCTAGGGAAAAGTGGATTTGTGTACGGGGTATAGTGCGTGGTGAAATAATTGGATCAAATGTTTGCTGGGTCGTTATCAGTTTGCATCGTACGCAGGGCAAGTTTCACTTAAAATAATGTCTGTCTTATGTGAGATTTAGAGGTATTTACGGCGCTCAGGATGATGATAATGTTTTTGTCAGTTTTGGTACAGCGCCAAAACATAGAACAACATCATTATTGGTTTTTATTAGTTCGAATTTATCTCGTGTTTTGTAGGATGAGTGAAAGAAATATCTTCTGCCATCTGTCTTTTCAAACTAACTTTCTCTCTATTCCAGAAATATAAATTGTGTTAGCCAGGGGATATATATTAATAACAGAGCGTCTTTTCACGTTATGTATTGTCATTGGAACGTAGCCTTTATTGGCTGCAGCTGAAGATGTGATACTGGGACGTTACCACAGTGCTGCTAATTACGCTTGTATCCCCCCAGGGCTGCCACCCTCATAATCAACAACCCCAATCTTCTTCGACTTGCCCTGAACGTAGGATTCATTGGTAAGAAAAACCTTTCCGCCCCTGAACCAACTTGCGCTCACAGTGAGTACGTTCTCTGTCCTGTCACTTGCTTCATCGCGGGTGATTCTGTGTGTCTGTATCCCAGAGAGTGTGAGTCGAAGCTTTGTGGTGTGTCGTCATGCGTCTGACAAATTAGGGCGTCAAGCTGGAGAAAGGCGTCGCGAAACACTTTTCTGAACGCCTGTTCAATTCAAATTTCCTGAAAAAATTTTGTGTGTACTTATTGTGTCGCGCCATGTTGTTACATTTTGTGAAGAAAATAAATTATGAAGCTATTCATTGCGCAGTTTTCTCCGTGCATCTCTTGTTTCCTCTCTGTCAGTTTAAGTAGGTGAATGCGCGTGTAGGATATTTTAAACTTTTAAGCCTGAATGAGATCTTCATCATCGGTTTCTGCGTATCAGGACAAACGCTTTGCACATTATAAGTCAAAGGGAATTAAAATAGCGTTTGGAACTACGCGACGGGCGTCCTTTTGTCCAGGGGCGTCGCAGTTAAAAATAATGCCGGGCTCGGCAGACCGTCTAGTGTTGCTAGAATGAAGCAAATAGCCAGGATACTATTACCGAATCAATACACGCGAGTGCCTCGTCTGAACTCGGCCGTGAGTAACGCAGATTTGTGTTCCGGGTGTAAACTTGCCTCATC